AGTCGGAGGCACATTTGTCTGAAACCTTCATTCGGTAATTGCCAGCTATAGTCTCATTGGGTCAGATTTTTCATCTGTTATACCACAATAAATCCAGAATAACTCTATTGATGTCTACAAAATAATTCAGGCATGTTCAGGTGTAAGTGGGATATTGGACTGTCTGTTTAGAACAACGTTGTTGTCAAATACTATTGCTGTAAAAGCCAAACTCTGAAATTTTATTTTGGCATAATCTCAAACAATGCATAAATAAATACATAAATACATAGAATAAAAATTGGAAGGGCAGTTGTGATCCTAAAGGCACCCAGTGCCAGTGGGGAAAAAGCACTCCCTGGTATCTAACAGTGAATCTCAGGTGACCTGATCAGCTGAGTAAATCCCAACTCATCTGATATTGGGACATTTATGTAAAAGGTACATTTTTAAGGTATCTTTGGAAAAATACTAACTCACTGATCAACAACATTCCTGTGTGATTCATGCACTGTTAACACATAAAGAATTACAAATATGTTCTAGAAATATGTTCTTAAAAGGGGGTTTGGCAGGCAAGGTTTAAGGCAGCTTAATACCTAGAGAAAGGGATGTGATGCTGCCCGCTTGAATGTGTTCCCAGTGTGAATTGAGCAAGGAGAGGCAACAGAAGTATGTTTACAGAAAAGATAAAGAAAGCCATCAAACTAGCAAGTGGGGGAATAGCCTCTTACCTATCACACTGGAGGGAGGAGATTGCAGAAATTGACATGGTGGTCAATTTCTGCCCAGTGGTGGAGGCCACAGCAAGCTGGGCCCCCAAGGGATGCTACCTGACTTTGAAAAGAAAAAGAAAACCTTTAATACAAGCAGACAGAAAAGACCAGTTTGGCATCCTTTGCTTGAGGAGACAAAGAAAACAAACACTTTGGGCTCTGTGTTGGAGCCTGGCTAAGGACTGACCAGCCATGCTAGAAGAATGACTGTGGTGAGAAAACTACTTCAAATAAAATACTGTAGTTTGTGAGGTTAGGTTTTAGTCTTGGAAATGTGTTGTTAGTTTCATTTGTTTTTTATTGTTTCTATCCCAATTCCTCTTCTTGGCATCACTCAAATATCTGTTCTTTGTTAAACTTATTCTTGTTTTATTACACAATCATTTGCCATGTTTCAATCTGAGAAGCAAAATGCTTTACCACACTTTTCCCTGTGTCTACGTCTATATTGGCATGATTTTGTGCAAAAACATGCTGCCTGTCTACACTGGTGGGAAGTTCTTGCACAAGAATACTGACGTTCTAATGTGTGAAATCAGTGCTTCTTGCACAAGGACGATGATGCTCAGGAATAAGCCCTCTTGCGCAACTGTTCTTGTGCAAGAGGCCAGTGTAGACAGGCAACATGAATTTCTTGCGCAAGAAAGCCTGATGGCTAAAATGGTCATCGGAGCTTTCTTTCACAAGAGAGCATCTACACTGGCACAGATGCTTTTGCGCAAAAGCACATCTCTTGCGCAAAAGCACATGCCAGTGTAGACGCTTTCTTGTGCAAATACTTTAACGCAAGACCTCTTGCGTTAAAGAGTATTTGCGCAAGATCATGCCAATGTAGACGTGGCCTGTGTCTTTAGGGGGCTGAGTGCTGCAGAGGAGACAATTTTTTGAGAGACTCAGGCCTGGAAGGGCAGTTGGTATCATCCTGCAAGGAGTAACCAGGCTGGTCCTAACCAGGGTGAGATCACTGTGCTCTAAACAGGCTACTGGTGACAGAATTTTGAGCCAAAGCTGCACAGCACAGTTCCACCCAAGACCTCAGGCCAAACGGTAACCATTTATTCTCATTTGAAAGAAACCCAAATGCATCACAACAGCAGAGCACAACAGCAACAAAGTGGCTTGTTGAGCATGGAAGATGGTGAAATGTTTTTTGTAAGAAGATTTGTGCATAACAGCTAAAAAACTGAGACACCTTATTTTACCCATCTGCCCACTCCCCTGAGTAGTGTTCTGTTTGTTTGTTTTGCATTTTATCTTCCATTAGAATGCAAACTCTTTAGAGCAGGTATTGTGTTGGTCTCTGTATTCAGAAAATGCTTAGCACATTTTGGGCACTATTACAATAAAAATAATTATTGCCTGTCACAATAGATTACAAAGATGTCGTCCCATGGTAATGAACAGGGACATGAAGAAATCCATGCTGCTCTCTACTTTTAAGAGTTTGGAGAGAGCACAGTAAATTAATGAATGTTCTAATACTAAAAACATAGAAAAGCTCTTTTTTGTGACTGATTTTCTCTTATCTCTGTTAAAACACTGATATTTGGTGGATTATGCTGAGTGTATGTTTAAATGAGACTTTTATGACACTTTTACATTAATAAAAATCTGCTAAAAATCATAGTACAAGCTGCTGAGTATGCTTCAGGGAATATATTAAATCTTTTATAATTTTTTTTTTAGTCCTCTTAATCTAACAAGAGCACTAATCCCCACTGAGGGATATTTTCAGAGCAAGTTTCAGTTGTTTTGGCAAATAATTTGATTAAACAGAATAGTTAGGTTCCTCCACCACACACACACACACACACACACACACACACACACACACACACACACACACACACACTTTGGATTAACTATTATTGTCCTCTAAGATCATGGAAAAATGTTGAGGGAATTTTGCTCAAACTTTTGAAAATCTGAGGCATATACCACACCCAGAAAATTTCACTTTAGAAATTATTTCCTCAGAAATACTATGAGCATGTGAAATCAGGCACATGTCCTGGAAACTGGAATTGCAATCATAAATAATTTGCTTTCCACTGGCCATCTCTATTTTATGGGGTTTTCAAAGCTCTTCCTCTTCTTCATCTTCAAAAACAAACTCTCCCATGTGGTAATTCTTGTCTGCAGACTAATTTCAGTCAACAAAAGATGTATCTTTACAGTATGAATTATTCAAAACTTGAATAGGCTTATGGGAGCTACTGGATTTTCCATTTACCAGTCCTGCTGTAACTGATACTGATGAAGGAGGAGGAAGAGGAGATTTTAAAAATAATAATTTTTTAGTTGGCTCCAAGCCAAAACTAGAAAATGTACCTACTTTTCAGATTTAAAAATAAACAGGTATTATGTAAATCATACCCTCTCTTTCACATTGCACAGGTTTGCATAACTGAGAAATTTTTAATCAGTAATTATACCAATTCCTGTATTGAATCTGACAGTTCCATTTCTATGTAAGTATATTCAAACCACAACACATTTCAACATTACCCCCTCTGAGCCTTGATTGTTCCTAGTAGATTTAAAACACATTACATTTCTGGTTGCAGTCAAGTTTTTTTTTTTTATTTCATTATGTGAGCTTTTTTTACCTGAACTTTATCTAAGTTGATTTTAACACCTTAATCCTGTCCCTAGCCCTCTCTAGACTGGCATTTATAGGCAATATCTGACTTAAGGTTTTGACAATTTTGAAATCCTATAGGGAACTGTAAATGTATCATGAAGCTATAATTAATACTTCAAAATCAATGTTTTCCAAATCTTATTCAAGTACCAAGAAGTAGAGTACATGAAACAAATATATCTGTCTATATCCTTCTCTTGCTACATACAATCATGACAGACAGGAGTTACCATAGGATATGTGGGCTCTGTCATCCCTGAAGATTTGCTGCAATCTCTCCTCCACCAGGTGATGCTAACGCTGTACCTAAACGGTGCGTCTAGACTGGCAAGATTTTGCGCGAAAGTGGTCGCTTTTGCGCAAAATCTTACTACCTGTCTACACTGGCCATGAGTATTTGCGCAAGAACACTGACTTTGTACTGTACAAAATCAGTGGTTCTTGCGCAAATACTCTGATGCTCCTGCTCAGGGATAAGCCCTCTTGTGTAAGTATTCTTGCGCAAGAGGGCCAGTGTAGACAGCCAAGTTAATTTCTTGCGCAAGAGAGCATCTACACTGGCATGGATGCTATTGCGCAAAAGCAAATCTTTTGCGCAAAGGCACATGCCAGTGTAGACGCTCTCTTGCGCAAATACTTTTAACAGAAAAACTTTTCCATTAAATGTATTTGCGCAAAATCATGCCAGTCTAGGTGCAACCAAAGAGTAAAAACCTAATAACCTGGGTATTCATGATGAGGACCAAGGCTTTGTAGGGGGAATTTTTTTCCAGAATAGTAGTGAATCCTAGAGCACAGCAACAAGATATCTGTGCTTGCATGTGCTTCCCAGCTCCTTTTCCCAGGACAGTACATGCTGATTTTTTGGCCACTGTCTCTGCCCTGTGTGATTTCCAAACTATTTAAGCAATTAGCAGGTTTGCTTCTGGAACATGCCACCCTTTCCTCTTTCTCCTTTGATGAAAGGAGTTCCAGCTGCATATCCTTGTCTGCTAATTGTAAGTACCAGTTCCACAGGCCGATAAAAAATAATTATTTTCCCAGCCCGAATGAAAAATTAAAAAAGCTAAATGAGGAGTGGGAGTCACTGAAACTTCATGTTGGTGAAACAGAGAAAAAGGAGGGAGAACTTTTTAAATTAACAATTTAATTTAAAAAAATTGATGTTTACTTCACACATTATGCCAGAATTAAAGAAGCTTTTTAGTGCACACAATGGGCCAGATTCTGATCTTATTCTACCGGTGTAAATCCACAGTACAT